CACGTACACACATACACATACACACACACATTGACCTTGCCATGGACACAGTGCTGCCTTCAACAGCACCCACATATATCCAACAGCGCTCATCAATACGTATTTATGATATCATATATTTATCAGAAGCCCCTTTCCATCACCTATAAACAGTCCTGGCTGCCTGGGGAAGTTCACCTTGACTAGAGGGTGGCAAATGGGACCCCCATTTACTAGAAGGGCCAGAGGGAGGATCCTTTGTGACCAGGCTCTTGGACCCTTTAGTGTCAGCTTTTCCTTTAAAATCAGTGGAGATTTAGGCAATATCTCAATGGATGGGGGGATCTAGGTCACCTCACCTCACAGCAGATGCTCCTTTTGGTCAGACGCTTGACTTTCCAGAGGATTCAGGCAGCCCAGGTCCCCAGCTCAGCTGAGATGGCACACAAGGGCCTCAAGGCTGGGGTGTTAAAAAGAAGATGGGGATGACCTCAAAAATCCAGGAGGAAAAACAGCAGGAAGGAAAGGCCCAAAATCCTAGAGGAGAAGATCAGGCAGTCGGGAGACGGCAACAAAACAACAACACAGAGGATTCATCCCATGGAGCAGTGCAAGCCATCCCTTCTACACCAGTGGTGATTCCCCAGCCAACAGAGACTCTTCAGGGCCTTTTTTGGGGTGGGGACCAGATAGGGTTTCACTTGGGACCTAAACCCCCTTACCCATTGTGTACATTAGCCCAGGGACAGTTTGCAATGTGAGCATCTATCCCCTGTTTTCAGAGCCTTTGCACACAGCAAAAGGTGCCCTGGAGTGGCTCAGGACAGAGCTGAATCCTTGGACACCATAGCACCACCATGGGGAGGAAGACCAAGCATGGTCAGGAAGTCAAAGCTCAATCTGACTGTAATTTTAAAAGTATCCCCCAGTATGGAGACCCTCCTCCAGCACCCAAATACCTCCTACCTCTCAAATACTGGCACTTCTGCCACCACCAGCAAGGGAGCATCCAGGGCCAGATGGAGAAGATGTGGAAGGATGGAGAGAGGCTGAAGGATGGAGAGAGGCTGAGGGATGGAGAGAGGATGAAGGATGGAGAGAGGATGAAGGATGGAGAGAGGATGAAGGATGGAGAGAGGATGAGGGGTCGAGAGAGGATGAAGGATGGAGAGAGGATGAGGGGTCGAGAGAGGATGAAGGATGGAGAGAGGATGAGGGGTCGAGAGAGGATGAAGGATGGAGAGAGGATGAGGGGTCGAGAGAGGATGAAGGATGGAGAGAGGATGAGGGGTCGAGAGAGGATGAAGGATGGAGAGAGGATGAGGGGTCGAGAGAGGATGAAGGATGGAGAGAGGATAAGGATGGAGAGAGGATAAGGATGGAGAGAGGATAAGGATGGAGAGAGGATAAGGATGGAGAGAGGATAAGGATGGAGAGAGGATAAGGATGGAGAGAGGATAAGGATGGAGAGAGGATAAGGATGGAGAGAGGATAAGGATGGAGAGAGGATAAGGATGGAGAGAGGATAAGGATGGAGAGAGGATAAGGATGGAGAGAGGATGAAGGATGGAGAGAGGATGAGGATGGAGAGAGGATAAGGATGGAGAGAGGATGAAGGATGGAGAGAGGATGAGGATGGAGAGAGGTGAGGGATGGAGAGAGGATGAAGGATGGAGAGAGGATGAGGATGGAGAGAGGATAAGGATGGAGAGAGGATGAAGGATGGAGAGAGGATAAGGATGGAGAGCAGGTTGAAGGATGGAGAGCAGGTTGAAGGATGCAGAGCAGGTTGAAGGATGCAGAGCAGGCTGGTCTGTGAGAGCCAAGCCTAGAGACCTGCAGAAAGTCCCAGCTCCAGGTAGACAAGGTGTCCAGTCAACATCCGTGCTGTCTGATCAGGCTCAACCATCCCCAAGACAGTCTGGACGTGGCAGAGCAGCACTGACTGTGACAGCACACGTCTCATCCCACCGCTGGCCAGGTCACGCATCTGCTGCTGTGAGTGAAGCTCCAGCCCCCCAGAAACGGGGAGGAACACCATGGAGGTTGGCAACTCGGTCCCCACCAGCGGCTCATGCACTCCTGCCAGTGGGACAAGGGAGAGAAGTGGAAAAGCAAAAGCCAGAAAAGCTTCTGGGTCGAGATAAGGAGAGTTTAGCAAGTGAAGGAAAGCTGTGGGTGCTCACAGAGCGAAGGAGGGTGTTTATTCACTGTTGCTTCACTGCTTCCCATCCGTGGGCGGGTGTCCAGCCCCTCCTCGGGAAGCAGAGCCTCAGCACATGCGATGGCTGCTTGGACCGGTTGGTAATCTGAATTTCAGATGCCCAAAACAGCACCGCACGGCCGCGATGGAGAATGTGAACTCCAGCCCA